GCCTTGCGTGCAGCCAGCCCGGCCGAGCCAGGTTCGATTCCTCCACCCCTCACGGAGAGCCCGGCAAGCTAACAAGAGTATCTCGCCCGCACGGCAGAGCCTGGCAAGCTACCCGTGACATATTCGATATGCCAAACACAGTAACAACAGGTCTCAAAATGGAGACATTACTGGGCCCACTCGAGCAAATCAATGAACAACAGGAGGACAGTGTTTGCTTTTGTTTGTTCTATTCCATCCACGTGCTCCCAGAGGAAGGGTTTGCCAAACGAATTCATTTCTATTTTCTCTTACTCCAACCCCAGGGTTTTTGCTGTTCCGTTTCCTCTTCAGAGCAAAGTGTGTCTCTGACACCCCAACCCCCTACAGGCACAGGGCAGGGCTGGACCCTCTTATTTTGAGGAGAAAGAGGAACAAGAGCAAGAGATGTGAAGACACATCTTCCCTGGAGATTAAATGAAGTTTTGAAGGTGCCTAGCTGTGCTGAGCACCGAAGGATCCCTGGTGACATAAAGACCATCATAATCATGGACAGACTCTCCCTCTCTCTTCCTCTCTCCCCTCCCTCCCTCCCTCTCCCCCTCCCCCACTCCCTTCTTCTTCCTCTCCCTTTCCCCCCCTCGCTCTCTCTCCCCCTCCCCCCCCCTCCCTCTCCTCTTCCTCTCTGGGACTCAGGTCCTGGGGAGTCTTAGCACAGATAAGGTCCATGCTTTTATTTTGCAGCAGGGAACTTGTTGCCAAGGATACTAGATCCTTCTCTCGTCATTCGTTCTAGTCTCCAGAGAATTGTTACTCAAAGTCGTGCGCAGTATTAGTTCCATTTATCACTTAGGGATCATTTATCCTGCTTTTTCTTATAATGTATTCTTCTTTTTTGGCCATGTATCTCTTGGCACAAAAGTCAAAATGATACACAAGAGTACAGATAGAGATTCTTCCCTCTTTTCCTCATCTATCTTGTTCTTTACCTCCTCTTAGCAGTTGCTTTTATGAGCTTCTGGTGAGTCCTTTTGGTGACTTTCACGCAAGTATAAATATTCTTGTTCTTCCACTTCTTCCAACACAGCTTCCTTGATAATCGGGTCTGTTCCTACCACTGAATCATATAAGTATGGGAGCAGTTTCCTTGTTTCTTTTTCACCGCTTCGGGGAAGTGTTTATTTAGCTGATTCCCTATAGAAAATCACTCCAGTAGGTCTTTCTTTGGGGCTTTCCAAACAACACTACAATGACTAACCTGGCAGGCATCCCACTTTGTAGGTGAGAAGGAACATTTGTATACGCTCTTCCAGCTAAGAGAGCATTCTAAGGTATTGACTGAGGATTAGAGCACCACTCAAGTTTTCATCTGCTTAAACTAAGTGAGGGACACCAGGAAAATAGGAACCACTTGTAGTATTGACAACAGAGAAAAGGCAATGCAGGGAAGTGGTTGCCAAGTGAGGGTGGGACCGAGGCCCTTGCTGAGAGAGGGAAATTGTTATTAGCACAGGGATTGCTACTAGCACAGGGGCCACCATGTCAGGCCGGAAAAACCACCATCAGGCGGTTCGCGTCACGGAATGCCAGACCGGGCTCGTCTCACCAAGCCCAGGATCCCGGTGCAGGTTTGGGCAGGGAAATGTGTGAGCTAAAAGGGTCAGAGGAGAAGTGGTACGACTTATTCCCTCCCTCTCCTGTCCTCCGGCCTTTCCAAAATTGGCTGGTACTGACCTTGCATGTCTGAACCAACTGCAATGTCCCCTCACTCCACTCCGCTCCCTTCAACCCAGAGCAGAGCAGGGAAAGGGCAGAGGATTAGGGAGCAAATGGCCCAGAAGCCATCTCTCCTGCCACCGAAGAGATCATCCAGAGTCCTGAGATAGTCCATGGCCTTGCACGTGACTAAACCTAGTTTGATCACCAGCGATCCCTGAGCACAGAACCAGCAGTAAGCCCTGAGCACCGCTGGGTTTGTTCCCCCCCACCCTCAAGGAAGCTATCTCTGCTGCTTTTGTGCCTCGGGACTTAAGCATATTCCTCCAATATCTTCCTCCCCTTGCTTTTCAGAGACATGCCCCTTTTCTTTCCTACAGGAGGAGAAAGAATAACTTGCAAACCCCTTGATCTGTCCGACGTGACCCCACAGTACTTCAGCCCCCCTGTTCCCCTTGGTCAGAGCCGGCCAGGTGGCGTGGCCTGAGCTGTCCTTCCTCGGAAGTGTCCGAAGGCTCCAGCTATGCCATCTGTGCTGGGTCATCAAAGTTGGGGCCAACTTTGAGGGTGAGAATGCGAAGGATGTGAGCAGAGCCCCCTCCCATCTCTGTCTGTACTCATGTATCAAATCAGCTGCCCCTTGAACTTTGCCTCTCGCCAGGATTTGGGGGGCTTCACCATCCTCCTAGGTGGACCCTAAACGGAGAGGTTTGCTGCACCCGGGACTTTCCAGGCTGGACCTGGGGGAGTTCCTGCAGGCCAGAATAAGAGGCTCAGGCTGTTCTGAGGTCAGCTGCAAAGCGGGGGTGGGGGGGCAGGTGAGTGATGGAGATTCTCAGCATGAGCCCCTTAGGAAAGCAATCCTAAGGCAGTGAGCCACTGTCTTAAACAGGGACCTGGAAAAGCACAGTGGCTAGGACGTGTGCTGAGCCCGCCCACCCCGGATTCCATCCTCAGGACTCCCTGAGCATTGCTGAAGCCCCCAAGCACTGGGATATGACCAGCACTGCAGGGTCTGAGCAGTATCACATCCTTGGGTCCTTGCAGTGAACTGTCAGTTCAGCTTGTGGCGAATCGCTTTGGGGCCCCAGGATTCCTGAGCACTGCTTAGGAACATCCCCAAAATGTCTTAAATATGGCATCTTAAGTGATGTGTGGAAATTTTTTTTTGTGGGGGGGCACACCCGTCTTTGCTCAGGGTTTACTCCTGGCTGTATACTCAGAAGTTATTCATGGCCATCACGATCATGATCATCCTGTTGTTCATCAGTTGCCTCGAACAGGCACCAGTAACGTCTCCTTCGTCCTAGCCCTGAGATTTTAAAGTGCCATATTTAAGGCTCTTTCAGGGTTAGGAGAATGAGACCCATCATTGTTACTGGTATTTGGCATATTGGGTACACCATGGAAGGTTTGCCAGACTCTGCCATGTGGGCAGGTTACATTCGGTATCCTGCCAGGTTTCCAAAGTAAGAATGAGATAATAAGATGTCGCAATGCCGCAAATGCGGCCGCGTGCTTCTGAGAGCTGGGTTTTGTAGTCTCTGGGTCTTGGGGCCGTTGATGGGATTACACAGCGCCAGGGGGTAGTTGGTGGGTGTGACCCCTGCCTATTGGAAGATGGAGGATCTAGGTGGAGGATGCTCAGCCCTGATCCAAGCAGGCTTGGAGATCTCAGCCCCGGGACCCGCATGCCTTTGTTCCTCTGCCGGTACCTTCATGCGTGTGGAGAGTGGTCTCAGCAGGGTTGTGGCTGGTTCTGGAGGTCTTCGGCTGCCGGAGCTCTGCTTGGGGCGGGGAGGGAAACTCAACCCATTCATGGCCATACTCAGGGAATAATATGAGGTGCCAGGGATAGAATCTGGGTTGGCCATGTGCAAGGAAAGCATCTTACCCACTGTACTATCTCTCTGGGCCCAGGAAGTGCTTTTTTTAGTTTGTTTTATTTCCTTTTTTTTTTTTCAGCCACACCTGACTCTGCTCAGAGGTTGCTCTTGGCTGTGCTGTCAGGGATCACGTCTGGCGATATTCACGGGATCACGGGGAGTGGTGGGGTTCGAACCCAGCTTGGCTGCTTGCAGGGCAAGTGTTTTACCCTCTCTGCAATCTCTCTGACCTGAAATGTTTGTTCTTAGCACTCTGGTAGCTGCATTCAAAGCGATTCCAACCTCTACGAAACCACGTAGGGTTCTGGAGAAAGCAATAAAAGACAAAAGGGCTTCCTAATCTGGGGCCCCTCTGTGTCACCAGAAGGAGACGGGTCTTTTTCATTATGACCCCCACGCCAACAGTGTCAGAAGTGTGTGGCTTTAGTGCCACGGGCTTCTGTGTCAGGCTTGCAGGGGAAGTGCAGGATAACCTGATAACAGGTAATGGAGCATGAGGAACTGAAATACTCGACAGGGCAGAGAAATGTTTATGCAGATGCAGTGTAAATCAGTCATCCATCACTGACTTAACTACGGTCAGTGTAATAGCAGTTGGTCCGGGAGGTAACCCAGCCTTGAAGCCATGGCAACCAAGAGGAACGCATCTTCGCTTGTGGTGTTAGTGCGCCCCCCAGCGTTCATTCTCCTGCACGTTTTTGGTCCTAGTTTCGTGATTAAGGCAAGCAGGTAAGTGAATGGACTTTGAGAACCAGGAGCACTTTGGGGGGGGGGGGAAGGAAGGAGTGTTACACTAAATTTTATTTTATTTTTTAATTTTATTTTTATAAGGTTATTCACTCGAGCGGGCCCAGTAACGTCTCCATTGGAGACTTTGTTGTTACTGTGTTTGGCATATGGAATACGTCACAGGGAGCTTGCCAGGCTCTGCCATGCGGGCGAGATACTCTCGGTAGCTTGCGGGGCTCTCCGAGAGGGGCGCAGGAATCGAACTCGGGTTGGCCATGTTGGCTGCGTGCAAGGCAAACGCCCTACCGTTGTGCTATCGCTCATTACAACACCAATCCCACCACCATTACACCTTCCTGCCACCATTATTTTGAATTTTCCCGCCACCATTCAAGCCTGCCTTCCAGGGGCAGATGCTAGCTAATTTATTTTTATTGCTTATTATACTTATTATGAATATCACAAGAGGTCACCTGGCCGCAAAAGCAGTCACGCACTACTGGAATTCTAAAATTGTAAATGGTTGGGAACCAGAGACATCTCTGTAGGGAACTAATCTATTTTGAGATTCATTTGGGAGTCTCTGGATCAAGCCATTGTTGATGCGCTGAGATGGAGCCTGGAAGCAGATCGTGGGCCTGACGGCCAGAACCCCAAGTCGGAGGGGAGACGGGAATGGATGGCCCTAACTTGACACTGGGCATCAGTGAGAAGTCGTCCATGAGCAGGTAGATGTCATGGCAGCCCATCATGAAATGCTGATCTGCTGAGCGGATGAACCGGCCCAGGTGGTGCACAGAACTGAAGAGAGGAAGGGGAGCAATACAGAAATAGCGAAAGCTGGGCCGGGGCAATAGCACTGCGGGTAGGGCATTTGCCTTGCACGTGGTGGACCCGGGTTTGATCCCCAGCATCCCATATGGTCCCCCAAGCACCACCAGGAGTAATTCCTGAGTGCAGAGCTAGGAGTAACCCCTGTGCATTGCTGGGTGTGACCCCCCCCCCGCCCAAAAGGCAAAAAAATAGCAAAAGCAGACTTTCTTTTTTCCTTTTTGTGGCCACGTAGAGTAGTATTTAGGAATTACTCCTGGCTCTGTGCTCAGGGATCACTGCTGGCAGTGCTTAGGGGGGACTATATGGGTCATGCCTGGAGCCAAACCCAGGTCTGCCAAGTACAAGGTTTGTATCTTAGCCCTGTACTATATCTCTCCAGCCCCAAATATTAAAAAACAAAAAAAAATCAGTTAATTATTCTATTAACCAGTTAGTGGTAACAAGTAATTTAAAATAAATTATTGTGGGCCAGATACAGGGTGACTTGAGGGATGGTTGGGAAAATGGAGACTGGTGGAGGGATAGTGATGGTGGTCTTGGGTTGGAATACTAGCTGCCTGTAACAAATGATCATGAACAACTTTGTAAACCACAGTGTTTAAATAAAGTGGGGAAATAAATTAATATTTTTTTTAAAAAGCATCAGGATGCTGAATATCATTGAAATGTGGTGCCCCCTGGTATGGACGCTGGAGAACTAGCAGTAGGTACGAGAAAAACAGTCTACTACTGTTTCCCAAAGGGAGCCATCCCACCCCGCTAGGGGGCGCTAGACCCATCTGGAACTTTCTGTTGGTTCTATTTAATAAAGCTGTCTTTTTTTTTTTGCTGTGGTTTTTATTTAATTAATTATTTTACATACTTATTTATGGACACACCTAGAGATACTCAGGACTTAACCCGGGCTCTAAACTCAGGAACTCTGCAGTTCAGCAGGGTTTGGGGGACTATATGGAATGCCAGGGATTGAACTCCAGTTGGCCACATGCAAGGCAAGCACCTTACTCATTGTACTATTGCCCCTAAAGAAAGATTTCTGCCAGAGGAGGAAGAGTTTGAGTAGTTGTATTTCTGACAAGGGAGTCAAATAAGTTTGAGAACCTGTGGTCTAGCTAAGCTTAACTGTATTGGTGATTGAATAAATTTAATGACGAACTGAGGGAGCAAAAGAAAAGCCAGAAAGTTTGTTGTGAAGAGAGTGAGAGAGTTAAATGGATATTTGTGGAAAGATTCTCAAATAGTATCGAGGACTCAGTCCCAGCTTGGGAAAACAACCGCTATAAATAATTCCATAGGTCAGCCAAAAATCATGGTTAGGGTTAAGTATGAACAGCTCATTGGATGTCTAAAGTTAATACATCCATATTTTTCCAAAATAAGAAAGGTTGGGGGAAGGTAGAGATGTGACTCTGGTTGAACGCTTGTTTTGCATGAGTGAAGCTCTGAGCTCAATTCCTGACACTGTCAAAATGGGGGGACTTGGAGGGACGGATATGGGTGGGGTGTACCTACATTCCAATAGCACAGACGGCCAAGCTGATGGTAATGTTCAGCCTTTTGTAATATTTTTCCAGGACCTGTCGATTGGAAGTTCCTTCCCATATGACTGGAGCGTGCCATTTGGTGGTGGTGATAACATCAGGATGCTTTCTGGAGAACAAATAAGAAGCAAATTAAGCAGATGTTGTGTCATGGTGCTGGCTATGGTGATTAGCCTAGTGACAGTGGATGAGGGCTAGAGAATAATTGCTAGGGGCTTGGTCAATGCTTTCTATTCCTCTTGAAACCCTTGCAGTGTCCTGTAAGGTGAGGACAATTTTACTATGTACATAGGCCCCACTCGGTAGATTAAATCGCTTTGGTCAAGATCTAATCAGCGAGAAGCCAGCTGTCTGCGTTCCAACCTGTGTGCTAGCCATTGCCTCACTGGCCTTTGGAACACCAGGATTTTTCCGTTGGAGCTTAACCTGGGAATGACTCAGTGTCTAAACTTTCTTTGATTATTTCTTAGGAATTGATAACTCAGCTGTTTCCTTGACTTCCTTCCTTCCTTCCTTCCTTCCTTCCTTCCTTTCTTCCTTTCTTTTTTAACCTCCTCTTTCTCCTTTTCCTTTTCCTCTTTCCTCATTTCTTAGAAGATCTGGAATACTTTTTTGGTCCTTGCTTGTTTTGGGGCCACATCTGACAGTGCTCAGAGGTTTCTCCTGACTCTATGCTCAAGAATCATTTGCCTGGCAGAGCTCAGGAGACCATATGAGGTGCCAGGGATTGAACCCACATCAGCAGTGTGCAAGGGAAGTGTGCTGCCCATTATTCTGTCTTTCTGGCCCCTTTTTCTCTTCTGTGCTCAGGGGACTATATGGGTTGCTGGAAATCAAAGCCAGGTCAGTTGCATGCAAGCCAAATGCCCTACCTGCTGTACTATCACTCTAAACCTCCTTTTTTTTAAAAAAAAAGTTTATTTATTTGTTTGTTTGTTGGGGTCAGGATTGGGTCCCATTCAGCTGTGCTCAGGGCTGACTCTAGTCTCCATGCTCAGAGATCACTCTCTGTGGGGCTTGGGAGATCATATGTGGAGGCCGGACACATAATGTGATCTAGAGATGTCTGCTGGACTAGAGTCGTTACTGACTGGATTCAAAACATCAAAAGAACATCAAAAGCACGTCTGGCTGCCCACCTATGAGATGTCAGACCCTGAACAAATGGTTTTGATGCTCTTTGTGTTCCTGAAGCAAGCAGACACCACTGGGCTACACTAGCACGTGACAGAGATGAATGGAGACGTTACTGGCAACTGCTCGAGCAAATCAATGAGCAACGGGATGACAAGTGATACAGGTGATGTGAATCAACCCCAGACCGGGCAAGGTAAGTGTCTCCCTTTGCCTTTTTCTTAATGTTTATTAAACTACCTTGAAAGAAAAATGAAGTCAGTTTTTATAAAAAAAAAAAAAAACAGACAATTGAGTTGCTTGTAACAATGACAACGTGAGAGCAGATATAACCCATTGATAATAATACTTCGTCCAAAGGCAGGGTGTAAAACTCAGCAAAGGAAAAACTCCGCCTTGGATTGAATACTAGTTGGATTGAGATGTCGGTCTGCTCTCTGTGATGGAGGATTTTTTTAGGGGGGTTCACATCTGGTGATGCACAGGGGTTACTCCTGGCTCTGCACTCAGGAATTACTCCTGGCGGTGCTCGGGGGACCATATGGGATGCTGGGGATTGAACCCGGGTCGGCCGCGTTCAAGGCAAATGTCCTATCCACTGTACCATTGCTCCAGCCCCATGATGGAGGATTTTAAAGTTCAAATTCAGATCTAGACAATGGTAAGATTCAGCATCATTTCCTAGCATACCACCACCACCACCACCAGAAATAACAACATAACAACGAATTGCTCAAAGGCACCTCCTTACTATTTTAGAGATTCTTGTGAACTCTTTTTTTTTTTAACTTTCCTGATTCATAGAGTTCAGTCTCACAACCTCAAATTCCACCTTAAAACTGGCCCATCAGGGCCAGAGTGATAGTACAGTGGGTAGGGAGTTTCTCTTGCCCACAGGAGACCAGGGTTCGATCCCCGGCACCTCATATGGCCCCCCGCGCCCTACAGGAGTGAATCCTGAGTTCAGAGTCAGGAGTAACCCCTGAACGCTGCTCAATGTAACCCAAAAACTCAAACCAAACAAACAAAACTGGCCTATTTTAAGCATGATGCCATATTTCACATTACAGACTTATCAAGATCTGAGTTTCAAGACTGTCCCTCTGTCCTTTAGAACAAAGATGAGGTGCCACAATAATGCTTCCTGCCTGACAGCAGGATGCAAAGAGGAAGGGTGTGGGAAACCTGTATCTAGAAATTGTTTAAAGAAAACAGAAAAGAACACAGAAGCTCTTGGGGTCCTTTAGGTTCCTATGAGAGGAATGTGACACTTTGCCCGAAGGATGCAAGTGGGCAGGGGGTAACTCTCTGCAAGCGACCCTCAGTGGCCTGGTGAACACGGCACACGTTTTAGTTGGAGAGTTCACCAAGCATCACTGTGGTGCTCACATATTCATCTACCCAGACCACACTTCCTGGCCACGGAAGGCACACATACACCTGGCTGCAGGCATGGCCTGGATTCACTTGTGGCACTGGGATGGCAGAGAACTGATTGCCGGGCTGAGCAGTGGTGCTGGTAAGACTGTGCTTAGGGCGTGTGGCAATGCCGGGAATGTGAACACTGGCAAGACAGGTGTTCTGAACCTTGGCTTTACTCCCCACCCCCCACCCCCACCCCAAGCCCCCAACTGATTTATAAGAGAGCACATTTGTGATATACAAGCTTTTGTTGTGACCTAACATGGGATTGGCTGATCCTCTGACGGGAGCACAATGGCGTAGACGACGTTTTGAGACATGTTAAGGCAAAGTCTCTTAATTTTAGTAGTTTTTTTCCTTTTTGGTGGGGGCCGGTTCTGAGACATTTATTCTTTCATATTTATTTGTAGCTTATCATTCTGTGGTGATTATTTTTAGCCCATTACCAAAAAATATCAGCAATTAGCTTCTTCTCAGGTATCTCAATGTTGGAAAGACCATTCCACTTGAAATTAAAAATTACTGTGAATAATAATGGTTTATAATAAGGCACAGGCCTTTCAACTAAAAACTGTCTGCATTGATATAGTTCTGCTGTTATAGAAGTGAGAGTATTCCATGTAGATTGCTGCCATGTATCTAGTCTACCAATACTGAAGTTCTAGTCGATTGCCTCGAGCAGGCCCCAGTAACGTCTCTTTCATCCTTGCCCTGAGATTATATTCAAGGCTATTTAGGAGAATGAGACCCATCATTGTTACTGGTATTTGGCATATTTGGTACGCCACGGGGAGTTTGCCAGACTCTGCCCTGTGGGCAGGCTACATTCAATAGCCTGCAAGTTTGTCCAAAGTAGGAATAAGACAATAA